GCAGGGGAACAAAATGAAGGGATGGGCCCAGATCTCAAAGGAGACGGGCAGGGATGGGATGGCAGGTACATTATCCTTTTGTTGGGCAGAGAGGCCTTTTTCCTCTTAGATGGAAAGTAGGGATGGCTGATCCCGAAAGATCAGTTCACACCTGGCGGTGGCGTTTTCCTCTGAGATAGGACACATGATTACAGGAGAAGTTTGGAGGGCAGATACTGGTGAATGGGTAGGTAGCCATTGAGGAAAACGGGAGGGGGAGAGGTTATCTGGTGACATGGAATGGAATCACCAAGGTGGAACAAAGACCAAGCAAACTGGGCGCCATGAATGTATCCAGGCACCAACCATCTGCCTGTGTGGTCCCCAGGGGTCAGGTATGTATGGTGCCGGGAGCTGTCTTTCTCCATTGCTGCAGCTTTGCAAAGGGAGCAGGGAATTGAAAGCACTCAGAAGACGCCATGAACGTCACACGTGAGCAGGTGGGCAGTCTTAAACAGCGACCCGTGAGCAGAGGTCATGCTCGTATCATGGGGTGATGAAAGAAGCATCCGCTGGGTAGTTAGAGCCATCTCTGCTGTCTGGTCTGGGAGGCTTCAAGCTCTATGTCGGTCCAAGGCCTTGTGCATCTCCAAGACGATGGCCACTGTCTCTTCCATGACTCGTCTTGAGGGCATCCCCAGCTGTGTAGCTTGGTGGATCATATGTCGCCCGATCCTTTTTTTTTTACCTAATTCTGGTAAAAGTATTTTAGAAGGGCCTTCACTAGAAAATTGAAATAAAAATTAAAACTCTCAGAGTTGACAGAAACAGAATTCTTATTTTGAGCCCAAGAAAGTCTGGTCCTGCAATATTTGGTTATTAGAGCGTATCTGGCAGCCCTTCTGAGTCCTGTGCTTTTTCTGTCCATAGACGCAACTGTTCAGACCACCAACTTGAGTTAGTTTTAGGGGGGTCCCCATTGGTATCCTGGACTTGCACCTGACCGTGAGACACCTCTGTAGCTGCTTTTACCATTTCACGTTCTCCCTGCCCCCTGGTCCTTTCAGATGAGCCATTGCAACTGATCCCCAAGAATCCTTTCTGGGTTACCAATCAGCCCACGCTTGCCTGGTGGCAATCTCTTGTTCCACCAGCTTGCCTCTAACTCCGGGTCGTTAGAATTCCTACTTGCACCTTCATTATTTCCTACTTTCTCTCTTTTGACCTGTCTAGGAGATGTCCCCAAATCAGAAGTTAGGGAAGACACGAATGTCTTCATCAGCGGTGAGTGCCAGCTTCTTAAATCGGATCTACCCACAGGTCATGTCTTCTCTCAAATCGGAACTGACAGGGTTTCTTCTTTTTCTCTTCCAAGAGCAAGTAACGCCCTCGTGGTCCTCCGAGAGCACTCAGATCCAAGCGACATCTAATTCTCACTTACTTGCACAGCACAGAGGTCTGATGAGCTAACCTAACCAAACCACCTCACCTTCTCCCCCCAAGGCCTAATGCTCTCTGTGTCCCCCAGGACTCCTGGTGTCTCTCAGGCTCTCAGGTATTCAAGCATTTAAAAACATGGCTGTTACAGGGGCGCCTGGGTGGCTCAGTCGGTTAAGCGTCTGCCTTCGGCTCAGGTCATGATCCCAGAGTCGTGAGATCGAGTCCCGCATCGGGCTCCCTGCTCGGCGGGGAGCCTGCTTCTCCCTCTGCCTCTGTCTGCCACTCCCCCTGCTTGTGCTCTCTCTCTCTCTGACAAATAAACAAATAATCTAAAAAGAAAAAGACTTATTAAAAAACATAGCAGTTACATTGTTAAGGTGTACGTCTGTCACTTTGAATAACAAACACAGTTGAAAACAGCATGAATGGAGAGACTTCTCTGGAGGGCAGTGAAATGGTCTACATTGATCAGATGCCTAATGTAGAAAAACATCTGAAGTTTACGGATTCTGCGTGTGAGTATCTTACTATTTTCCTTGGCAGGTTTTAAGGACATTAGACAAAAGGAAGAAAAGTATGAAGACTCTGAATGAAAGGAGACGGGAGAGAAACAGAAAGCAAAGAGAAGCTGAGGGGCTTCTTTTTCTGTCCCTTTCATGGTGAAGCAGCTTCTAGGGGTGGGACAAGTTTCAGACCCCTGTGTTAATGACCGTGACTGGTTTGAGGAAGGAATACTATGACACATTAGGGGAATAAAAACCTAACATGGGTTTGGGGACTTCTGTGTGCTAAGTGTTTTTGTATACATCCTGTGTACCCCCTCGTCTTAGTCCGTTCGGCCCCTGCTAGAACAGAATACCGGAGATCAAGCGGTTTACAAACAACCATAAGTGCATTTCTCTGTTCTGGAGGCTGGAAGTCCAAGATCATGGTACCGTCAGTTTGGGTGTGGGCCCACTTCCTCAGAGGAGGCCCTCTCTCTTGGTAAACTCACACAGCAGAAGGGGGTGGGGACTCTTAGGCCGATTTTATAAGGGCACTAATTTCATTCATGAACCTCCCCCCCCCCCCCCCCCCCCCCCCCCCGGTCGTGTCTTCATTACCTCCCAAGCATCCCACCTCCTCATGCCATCACTTTGGAGGTCAGAATTTCAACATACGGATTCTACGGGGGCATAAACATTCAATCTATAGCATCCCTTTAACTACTTTATCGAGTAAAGATTTTTAAAAAGGAAACTCTAAAGCCTGGCCCTGCTGAAACCTCAGACCCTGTTTTTCCCCATGACTTCAGGCTCTCATCTTCACTTTACAGCAGATTCTCTCATTTGCTTTCCGTGGATCTTCTGTGACTTCAGTTGGGCAAAACAGTTCTGACTTTTTATTAACAAAGATACTCTCCAATTTCAGGAAAGTTGTGGGACACTGAATCCTATTGGTGCCTGCTTGCCACAGTTGCACAATTCAGTATTGCAAAGCCATCATAATTCAAAGCACCATTGGCTTGGTAATTCACTTCATTAATGGTGCTGCCTGAATAAAACACACAGCGAATTAGAAATAAACAAATCCTTGGAAGGTACAACAATATATTCAGAAAGCACAGAAGGTCAGGCCTGAAGGCAGAGGAGGGAGAAGGAGGAAGGAGAGGGTGAGGAGGGAGGAGAACAATCCAATCAGGATAAAGAGGGATTTTTGTGAGCCTATAGGTGCTCCATGGACAGTGCTTTTAGAAAGCGTGTCTGAGAAGTATCGGAGGACTAATTACGAAGCTGTCTTGTGTCTGTCTTTACCTTCGCACCTCTTGCTCCCTCGCTTCCTATACCTAATTTATTACGAAGTCCTGTCAGTCTTACCTGCAGAACAGATCTCACTGTCTGTCAGCTTCTGACTCCCACTTTGCAATCCGGTTGGGCCTGTGCCTGGTTCTGGCTGGGCTGACGCACGCAGATAGAGGGTCGTGCTTTCCCGCGCCTTCTTCTCCTACCAGGCAGGTATGGAAGCAGGTTGTCGGAACGAAGGTGCCGCGAGACCGAAGCTGTCTGGATCCCTAAATTGCAGGGAGCGCAGCTGCCCAGGAAAGCCAGCCAGCTGTGCAGGGGGCGTCTCCCAAGCAGGGCGCAGACCCTGTTCTGTAAAGCACCTGCCGACGGTGTGTTGTTGTCACATCATGTTCCATTATCGCCTGGCTGGGAAAACACACTGCCTTCCTCTCTCTCCTAACCAGCCCACCTTTTCAGCAGCCCTGCCTCGCTTCATTTCATTTCTCAGCAAAGTGAAGCTCTTCAAATGTACATAAGGGTCACATGACTCTCCTGCTTCCCCTTGTTATTAGGATGGATTCTCGACATGCTTTAGCAGGCCGGTGTGCTCAGACCCCTACTTGCTACTCCTTCTTTTAGTTCCTCAGACACTCTGGGCTGCCCCCCTTCTGGGGCCTTTGCACCTGCTTTTTCCTCTGCCTGGGACCTTCCCCCAATTCCCAAAGTTCACCTAGCTCCCTCAGATTATCTTTGCGGTCTCTGACCTTCACAACACTGGCTCAGAGGCCCCCTCAGGTTGCAGAGGTCTCCCTGTTATACACTCCGCCGTGGCACCTGCTGCTGTTTTAATGATCCCAATCACAGTTCATCATTCTGTATTCATTTGCGTGGTTCTTTGTTTGAGGAATAGCTTTCTCCCCCACCAGACTGCATGCTTCACCAGGGAAAGGACCCTGTGTCTGTTTGATTTTCCTAAGCATCCTGGGCCTGACCCCTAGCCCATACTAGGTTCTCAGCAAATACCTTCAGGATGATTAAATAAATGCATTTAACGTTAAGTCAAGATTATATGCATATTTTTGGAGTCTAAGGAAAGTGACAGTGGATATTGTTTTGAGGATTTGTGGTGTCAGCCAAGGGGCCAGGTGCTTCACATTGTTTTCTCTATCATGTATATATCACAACAATAGCAGTATGAGGTCACACTTGAGATGTGGAAGCTCATGTCTGGAGTGGGATGAAGAAGCCCATGTGTGTCTTTGAGGCTCAGGAGGCTGCCCGACTCCATGATCCATTTCCTTAACTTGCTTTTTAATTTGGTTTCTTTCCAACTCCACTTTTCCAAGTTCATGAAACAACAGCAACAAGCTCTTATATCATAGCTGTTATAATAATCAAGGGCCGGATTTATCTTGCTTTCTTTTTGGAGAGACGTATTGATCTCTTGGGTCTGCATGCTTCCTGCCAGAGACAGCATCTCTTAAAAATGAAGCGCTTACGTATGGAATGATTACAACTGTTCAGTGATGTGTTCACTGTAAATACTAAAAGAATATGAAAACCTGAAAATATGAAGTCTTCCATCGAGAGTTCTTTCCTGTTTGACTTTACGGTGCAAACTGTTTTTTTTTTTTTTTTTTTAATTTAGACCTGTCAGAGGTGAAAATATCAATTTCCTTTTCCATGGAGAAATCCAATAATAGAATGAAAATCAGACTTCATTTGGGCACGCTTTATCAATTAAATCTGAATGTTGTTAACGTTATCTTATACCTCTCATTTTAAATCAATCTTTTTAAAATCTCTTTCATGAAACAGCACATATCTGTTTGAGAAGTCGCTCCAGCTGACAGAAGCATGCAAAAGACTGCAAGACGGCTTTCAGACTTTATCTAGCAAACTAAAAAGGTAAGTTCTACTTATTACATTTAATTTCATTTTTAAAAGAAGTGTTTTGTATTCAAAATATTTTACTTTGAAACCTTTTGGAAAATGAGACTGTGTTCACGCTCAGGTTTCACCTTGGGCTCTGAGAAGCTTTCTGTGGTGAGGAGGGTGGAGGAGGGGTGGACAGTGCGGACCAGGATCAGTAGGGACTCAGTTTATCTGTCCTTGGATCCACATTCACTGAAAACTCTGTGTAGTTTTACTGGCTAGACTTTTATAGGCCTTTAGTCTTTTTGAGGAGCCTGGAAGCATTCTCGATGCTATCCTAGAAAAATGTACACTTGTACTGAATCGCTTATAATTCTGGAAGGGTAGCAGATTCACCCCTAGTTCTAGCTGTGGCTCATCTTCCACTCCCCCCCCACCAACTTCCAATCCTGTATTTTAGAGTGATCCCTGTACCATCTTCTTCATACTAGCAAGGGAAATCTAAAAGCTCCAGGCTTCACACATGGAAGAGCCCCTGGTGGCCTAAGAGTCTGATGGGAGTGGTACTGCCTTGACTTACCTGGGAGAGTGGAGTCTGACAGTGCTGGACGAAGGGTGTGCGTGTAGGCCGGGGCGGGGGGGGGGGGCTGTGATTACACCTGTCATCTTCCTCAAAGGAACTAAGCTGAGTTGCATTTAGTATGAATTATACTCAGACCTTGTAACCCAGGATCTGCGAGGCGGGTCTCCCCAGAGAGGAGCGCATAGATTATCCAACTTTTGGGGCATAAAAGGGAAATGTCTTATAGTATAAATGTTTCTACTGTGTAAGGAACCCCACGGCTCTCACTTGGAGACCTCAGCTGCTATTCTGGGCCAGAGATGCATGTCCAGTGCGGGAAGACAGTACCAGGGTGACCACCCCTGATGTCCTGGGCACCTCTGCTTTGTCTGAGCCTCTTGACGGCCTGGCTCCTTGAAATTATTAGGGAAGCCTGATATTGAGTACGATCTCTGATTTGAGTTCATCTGGTTTGACCATCCAATCTTGTATGTTAGCCCAGTTTATTACAAAAGGATAGCCCTAATAAAATTTTGGTTTTCTTTTCCTTAAATTCCAACTGAAGGACCCTTATGCTTGTCAGAGAAATCCACCGTGCTGTGTGCCTTCCGTCCACCACACCTGATCTACTTCTCTCCCTTCGCTACAGTTTAGTCTGTGCCTTGCCTTGCCCTGGAATGTTGACCCCCGAGGCCTTCATCAGTACACTCCTTGCTCTTTTGTCATCTAGTTTTGTTTGGATTTGAGCCAGAGGGGAACACCAGAAGGAGAACAGAATGAGGGGGAAGGCAAAGGATCTTTCTTTGTGGTGGTGCTGTAGGTTAACTACCTCCTTGACCAAAGGAAAGTGCTGCATCTTAAATGAAGGTCATGACTTTTGTTCGGCATCTCTTTCTCTCCTTCCCTCTGCCTTCATTCTCTCCCTGGACCCTTCAGCTCAGGAATAAGCTGTTAACAGTCCCCTGACATTGAACTTGGATTCCACTACATCCAGCCCAGGCCTTTTGAAAAAGTTCCTTTGTGAAGCGCTTCTTAAAAGACACAACTGAGTGGGGTATCATTCCTGCCAGGACCCGTGCTTACCATAGATTGGCTAGAAGAAACTCTTGCAAATGCGTCTCTCCTTGCATGATAAGTTCATTGAACTTTGGGGTGGACTTAAAGTAGTTCACACATTACAGATGGTGCAACACATCTATTTTGATCATGGGGTAGCTGATGTTTTGTTTGTTGGGTGTGGGGGCTACAGGTCTTTCTCAGAAACTTTCCCCAGGGATCTCGAATCCCAAACCTACTGCAGGTTCCCTGTATCAGACATGGCGCAATGACGTGTGAAAAATAAAACTTGGCAAAATTGGTCCTTGCTCCACCATACCCTGTGACAAGCTGGTGGGACTCCTTGCCTGACGTGAGACTCCGCACGTGAAAGTTGCCTTCAGTGTTCTCCCTGACATGAACTGTTTTTGCTCCCCGAAGTGACAGAAATCTTCAATGTAAGGATGATCCATAGCTGTACTTTGGAGCAAAGCCCTTGAGTCAGCATGGGAGAGAATTCTTTAATCGTGGAAAGTGTTTTTTTTTTTTTCCCCCAAGGACAGAATTTAACAACTTTATTACAGGCATCAACAAAAATGGTTAGCTGCCGTGTGCTAATGAGAATGTCTGTGCCTATGCCCTCATGTTTGCTCTCGCACTTTTTTTCTGTTGTTTTGGATTTGGTGCTGAGACCTCTTCTTGGCTGTTCTTTAGGGGGTTGCATTTCCATTATGCACACAATTTTCAACTAGCTCACATAATTAGCCTGCGCTGGTATTCTGTTTGCAAAGGTCTAGAGAGAGCAAGCATGAATTGTCCATTGTTATGAAAGTGTTATTTTGCACACAGGAGATTAATTTTTTCAGTTGTATAGTCTATTGTCAGGAGTTGTGTGTTCTGCGACTCAGTGCTCTTACAGACTTACAGGGGATGGTCGGGAAAGCCATTCAGTATGTGGTGATAAAAAGTAATTTCATTTTCTTAGAAATAATTATTTAGCTCTGTTTTTGTCATGGTCCGGTAAAGACTTAGAATTTTCTCTTTCTTCAGCCAATTTGTCCCTTTCGGTTTGCTAAAATAGTATCTAGGAAGACACAGTTAGAGTGGAGGGAAACTGCTCTTTTTTTCCTTTGGTCTTTAGTACATTTTTAAATAAAAGAAAATTAAACCATTGCCATTTGGAGGACAGCAGGCTAGGGTTCTGGGATCACAATTCTTTATGTCTAAGACTATGAGCTCCATGGACGTGGCCCTATCCCATTGCCTTGCTGAAGCCGGAGAGTGTAGGTGGTTGCAGTACTCTCCTGTTCCCTGGCCGGAGCAGGTGACCATGAATGGCCACCATATTCTCCTGCACCCAGCCAAAAGCTAGCATGCACTCACAGACAAGGCACTGTCCCACTATTTCTGAAACTTGTGGGCACACATTGTCAAAACATTTTCCTGCTGCCTTTCTGAAGTCAGTGAGTATGCCCACCCCCAGCACTAGCTGTCCAGTGGGCATGTGCAGTCCACATAGGGAACACCCTTTGATTGCCTGGTCAAGGTAGCCAAGGGGGCTGGAGTTCCTAAATGCCCTGGAAAGGTAACAATTCAAAGAACCGTTATTGGCAGGCCACTACACCCAGGGCAGTTCACAGACAGCAGACTGAAACACAACCTGTCTTCCTCTGAAACAGGCCTATTTACTTAGCCTGGAGCTTCAGCCTGAGGGACAGGCTTTCGATTTCCCACACATCTGGATGCTGAGGAGGTACTCCCAGGGAATGTAAGCAGGGAGACACTATCCTTGTGCACCACCCTGGCCTCACTACAGCTTGATGAGACCTCCCATAGAAGAGGTTATGCGCTTGTTTGGAGCCCCAGTTTTTGCACTCGTGTCCACAGGACACCTCTGGAGCCCCTGGTCTGGAGGCCAGCAGGGATTATGGTTGTGGCCACATAGGGGTGTATATATTTGCATACTTTAGAAGCTGCTGCCTGAGGGCCTGTTTTCCAGTCAGCCTGAAAGTAGTGCTAAATGAGATTCCTCCCCTTGGAACATTCACAGTTCTTGGCACACTCTTAAAGACAGGGACATATCAAGAATAAAGTGTGTGGGTTAGACAATCACAAAGGCTCAAGAGACAACCAGGAGCTAGGACAAGGTCAAACAAGAATGTTCATCACCTACACAAGGCCACTTCTTAAGACAGAGAGGTAGTTGCTTCACCTAATACACAGAAACAAACACACACAGTCAAGCAAACTGAGGAAACAAAGAAGTATGTTCCTAATGAATGAATAAGACAAAACCTCAGAAAAGACCTTAATGATATGCAGATAAGTAATTTACCTGGTAAAGAACTCAAAGTCATGGTCATAAAGTTTCTTACTGAACTTGGGACAAACACAGTGAGAAATCTAACAAAGAGTCTGAAAATATGAGAAAGTACCAAACAGTAGTCTCGGAGCTGAAAAATAAAATAACTGAACTGAAAAATACACTAGAGGGGTTCAACAGTAGAGGAATGAAGCAGAAGAATGGATCAGCAATGGAGTTCACCCCAACAGAGCAGCAGAAAGAAATGAAGAAAACTTAAGAGACCTATGAGACAACATCCAGTGGAATAGCATTTACATTATACAGGTCCCAGAAGGAGAAGAGAGAGAGAAAGGGGCAGAATACTTATTTGAAGAAATAATGGCTGATAATTTTCCTAACCTGGTGAAGGAAACAGACATCCAGGTTTAAGAACCCAGAAATTACAAAATAAGATGAGTCCAAAGAGATCCACACCAAGACACATTATAATTAAATGTCAAAAGTTAAAGAGAAAATCTTAAAGGAAGCAAGAGAAAAGCAATTTCCCATTGTTACATACAAGGGAAACCCCATAAGGCTATCAACAGATTTCTCAGCAGAAATTATGCTGGGCCAGAAGGGAGTGGCGGGACATATTCAAAGTGCTGAAAGGAAAAAAATCTTCCAACCAAGAATACTCTACCTAACAAGGTTATCATTCAGAATTGAAGGAGAGGTAGAGCTTTCTAGAGCACAGAAGCTAAAGGCCTACTACTATTAAAGCAGCCTTGTAAGAAATGTTAAAGGGACTTTTTTTAAAGATTTTATTTATTTATTAGAGAATGAGAGAGCACGAGAAGGGGGAGGGTCAGAGGGAGAAGCAGACTCCCCGCTGAGCAGGGAGCCCAATGTGGGACTTGATCCTGAGACTCCAGGATCATGACCTGAGCCAAAGGCAGTCACTTAACCAACTGAGCCACCCGGGCGCCCCATTAAAGGGACTTTTTTAAGCTGAAAAGAAATGGCACTAATTAATAACAAGAAAACATGAAAGTAAAAATCTCACTGGAAAAAGTAAATATACAGTGAAGGTAGTGGGTTAATCACTTAAAAAACTACTATGAAGGTTAAAAGACAAATGTAGTAAAAATT